ACGGGGAGAACATGGAGACTCCACACAGAAAGATCCCGGGTGTCCTCACCGGGATGCGAACCGGCGACCTTCTAGCTGCGAGACAACAGTGCTAACCAACAATCTGTAAAATACCAGGTAACAAAACAATTGATCATTTTTTAATCCTTGGATCATTTTAATAAATGTATTTATTTTTTGCTGATTTAAATACATTTTAAGATTTTGTAATGTACCATTTATAAAACTTGTCTACTGCTTTGAAGTGCTGTGTTTGAGTGTAACATGCAAATTAACACCTTTTTTCTGTTAATGATCCTTCAGAAACATCCCCACAACACCCTAAAACATTGCAAGCAGAATGTTCCAGCTTTGTTGGTCCATCACATGACACGAACAATTCATAAAAATCATATGAGGCCTTGATAACATCTGGAAAACATGTTTTGAATGTTAGTTTGAGAACGTTCCTTCTTTGTTTTTATGGAACATAAACAATGTTTTTGACAACATTCTCCAAACACCCTCTGAATGCTGCAGCTAGAAGTCATCTTGTTTTTAACTTGATGGAAATATTGTTGGAAATAATGAATGTTCCTGAAGCGTCCCTTAAACGTTAGATTAAAACTTTTAAGTATTATTAGAACAAGTAGGTAATGTTAGTCAATGTTGTGGGAACGTTTTTAGATTTCTGGCTTGGGTTAGTTTAGAATGTTTAGATTCTAGTTTCTCTGTTAACAAAGGACAACACTGACTGTCTCACTGGATTTAAATGACATTTATTCAGATGAACACAAGAGGGCGCTCCTGTAAACATTAGTTATTTGAACACCCCTAAGACAGTCACCAGTAATGTGGTTTTTCTGGTGAGTCAGGCTGATCTTCAAACACGTCTGGAGGGAATATTTAAACTACTGTAAAGTGCTATTCACTGTTTGGACCAGGAGAGAGCAGAGTTTCCTCATTTATGAGGGAGTCTACATACNACTTTAAAGTGTTTATACCTATGATGACAACAACATCATCTTGCAGCTGCAATTATAATAAATGAGTCATCATGAATTTTCAATCAGGTTGATTTTGAACAAGCTTAACCTGAAAAATGTTTGCATCTTCCTTTAAGTCTTCGTCGGTTACTTCTTCTGGAAAGTCCCATATTTAAACCTGCCCAACAGTTTCCTCATTGGCTGAAGTCCAGTTGGCTCACGTGTCATTTAATCAGATTCAATTTCTATCAACTGAACAACAAAAGTGATGCAGCTCGCCTCATCAGGAGTTTGCTGTGGATTTTTAACGGCTATTTAGCTGAAAACAGCATCCTGCAGTGAGAGCGAACCAAAGCAGTGAAGTTCCAGGTGGTAAGTCCACAAACAGTGAGCTGAAAGACACCACAAAGTTTTACGGGATCCTTCTTGTCACTACAAGGAAGAGTTTTCACGTTTAGGTTGTCATTATCTGTTGTTAGCATTAATGAAAGACTAGATGCAGGTGACCGCACCTTTCCCAGTTGCTTCATAATAATCACAATTTGTTGTTCAGATATTTGCATTAGTTGATTGAAAAAGCGCGTTCCACCTCAACCAAGCACGATTTGCAAAACAAACAAAAATACAAAGAACAAGAAAATGCTGTTGAATTTAAAAAGGCTGGTGCATGTAATATCCAGCAGCAGGCCTTCGTCATTTCTCTTTGTCTCCTCGTTATCTGTAATCTTTCTACTGTTGGGCAGAACAAAGAAAGTTGTGCTGATCTTCATAGAAGACGCTGATCAGAAATGTAGACTAGCTAGACTTCACGCTTTAAGTCTTTTCTTTTGCAAAACCAAAACACTTCCCGTGTTATGCCAAACAAAAAATGGGTTTGTTGTGCCAGACAGCGGCTAAAGTGAGCTGTAACTATGATCACTGTAGGTAAGGTTTAAATGCTGCTCTGGATTCTTCTAGGTGCTCCAGGAGGAAATTATTACCTTTGTGAAGATTGAACTGAAGAAATTCAAGAAAAGCCTGAGTCCAGAATCTCGAAGGGGTTCAGAGAAGCTGAGAGAGGATGATGGAGCGACAGCTGGTGAAGAAGAGCCGGGGAGCAGCAGCAGAGATGCATTTCTGAAAATCACGCTGAACTTCTTGAGGAAACAGAAACACGAGCAGCTGGCCGAGTCTCTGCAGAACCGTGAGAAAAATTTAACTTCTGTCTCCAGAAATATGAAAGTCATCCATCACAGCTTTGTGCTCTAGATTCACCCACATTCATGGGTACTTTGTTGTCCCATGAGGGGACCTCCCCTCGTACTTGTAATCCACTGACTGATGTTAATGTCTCTTGTTCTTTCAGAATCTTGTGCCGCAGTTTGTCAACGTAAATTAAAATCTACCCTGAGGAGGAAGTTTCAGTGTATGTTTGAGGGGATTGCCCAAGCAGGGAACCCAACGCTTCTGAATCAGATCTACACAGAGCTGCACATCACTGAGGGTGACAGTAGAGAAGTCAACGATCAACACGAGGTCCGACAGATTGAAGCAGCATCCAGGAAAGCAGAGGGAGCAGAAACAACCATCAAACCAGAAGACATCTTTAAAGGCTCATCTGGAAGAGACAAACCAATCAGAACAGTGATGACAAAGGGAGTGGCTGGCATCGGGAAAACAGTGCTAACACAGAAGTTCGCTTTGGACTGGGCTGAAAACAAAGCCAACCACAACATACAGTTTATCTTCCCATTCACCTTCCGAGAAATCAATGTGCTGACAGCCAAGAACTACAGCTTGGTGGAGCTTCTACATCACTTCTTCACTGACACCAAAGAAGCAGGAATCTGCAGGTTTGAAGACTTCCAGGTTGTGTTCATCTTTGACGGTCTGGATGAGTGTCGCCTTCCTCTGGACTTCCACAACAATGAGATCCTGACTGATGTGACAGAGTCCACCTCAGTGGATGTGCTGCTGACGAACCTCATCAGGGGGAAGCTGCTTCCCTCTGCTCGCCTCTGGATAACCACAAGACCTGCAGCAGCCAATCAGATCCCTCCTGAGTGCGTGGACATGGTGACAGAGGTCAGAGGGTTCACCGACCCACAGAAGGAGGAGTACTTCAGGAAGAGATTCAGAGACGAGGAGCAGGTGAACAAGATCGTCTCCCACATGAAGACGTCACGAAACCTCCACATCATGTGTCACATCCCAGTGTTCTGCTGGATCACTGCTACAGTTCTGGACCACGTGTTGAAGATCAAAGAGAAAGCAGAGCTGCCCAACACCCTGACGGAGATGTACATCCACTTTCTGCTGGTTCAGACCAAACAGGGTAATGTAAAGTATCACGGAAAAGCTAAGACAGATCCCGTGTGGAACACAAAGACCAAGAAGATCATTCTTGCTTTGGGAAAACTGGCTTTTGAGCAGCTGCAGAAAGGACACCTGATCTTCTGTGAAGCAGATCTGAAAGAGTGTGGCATTGACATAAAAGCTGCCTCAGTCTACTCTGGACTGTTCACAGAGGTCTTCAAAGAAGAGCGAGGGTTGAACCAGGAGAGGGTGTTTTGCTTTGTCCATCTGAGCATTCAGGAGTTTCTGGCTGCACTTTACGTCTTCCTGATGTTCATCAACAATGGTGTCGATCTGCTGACGAGAAGAACGTTGTCACTGCGACTTGCAAGTAAATTTAAACAACTCTACCGGAGGGCAGTGGACAAGGCTTTACAGAGTCCAAATGGACACATGGACCTGTTTGTTCGCTTCCTCCTGGGTCTTTCATTAGATACCAATCAGACTCTCCTGAGAGGCCTGCTGAAGAACACAACAAGCAATCCAAAGGTCAAAGACGTGTTAGTGCAGAACATCAAGAAGAAGATCAGGGAAAGTTCCTCTCCAGAGAGAAGCATTAATCTGTTTCACTGTCTGAGTGAGCTGAAGGACCACTCTCTAGTGGAGGAGATCCAGCAGTACCTGAGATCAGGAAGCGTCTCTGAGAACAGGCTCACTTCCTCTCAGTGGTCAGCGCTCGTCTTCATCTTACTGTCGTCGCAAAAAGACTTGGACGTGTTTGACCTGAAGAAGATCTGTGCGTCACAGGAGGGACTTCAGTGGCTGCTGCCAGTGATCAAAGCATCCAACACGTCTCTGTAGGTGCAGAAATAAATGTTTAAAAAAAGGTTAAATTCACTCCACATTTTACATTCAATCTTTCTCTTCTGCAGACTGAGCGGCTGTAACCTCTCATGGAGAAGCTGTGAAGTTCTGGCTCCAGTTTTAACCTCCAGCAACTGCAGTCTGAGAGAGCTGGACCTGAGCAACAATGACCTGTATGATAGAGGAGTGAAGCTGCTCTCAGTGGGACTCGAGAGTCCACAGTGTAGACTGGAGACTCTCAGGTCAGTATTTGGTAAATAAATGATCATTTTCAAAATCTTCTTTACTACAGGAAACGACGACAACAACCTCGGAGCAGCAATCAGAAAGGTTTGATAAAGATTTAGATTTTACAAGAAGGCAGTCCTGTTGGGTTTGTTGGTAAAACGACAGTGTTGATGTATCTGCATGCAAATGTTTCACCTAAACAATTCCCCAGTCACTGTTTTGAAGGGACACTGTTGCTACATCCTGGGCTTAGCACCATCAAAGACGATTGTGAAGGGTTTAAAGAAATATAAAGAAACTAAAGCGTATTTTATTCCCTGGTTACTTTTCCATGAAAGCTGCAAAGGCACTGTGACCAAATAACATTTTCATATCACTTCCAACGTGACACAAGTCTTAACCTCATACATTCACAAGTGGCAGTACTTTGGGTTGTGTGGGGTGACTTACATCAGGGTATTTCCACATTTCAACATGTTCTGTTCTGACAACATCACAGAGAGACTCAGTTTGATGCCAGAATCAAAAACTATCTTTCTCAGTTACTTTGCTGTAAGACTTCACATCTCTCACAAACTGGAGCCAAAGTTAAGTTCATTGCTTCCAGCCGTTTGTAGGAGTCTTTCCTCTGAGTTTATTGAACACCTGCAGCAGCATGGCTCTGTGCTAATGGGGAGGGTTTGTCTGAATAAAGCCATTGTCAATAAGGCAAACCCACAAAAATACACCAGAAAACATTGGAGGATTCATCTGAATCACTGGATGTCTAAATGTTATGTCACAGACAGTACATAGATGTTTATCCAACAATGAGGTGAAGATGGGCCTGCTGTAGAGCCGACACAATGAATCAATTAGTTGTCAACTATTGAATTAACCACCAAAAATTTTGATAATCGCTTTGAGTAATTCTTTAAAGGGAAAAAACAAAGGCTAAATTCTGTAATTCGTGCTTTTTAAATTTGGATATTTCCTGGTTTCTTTACTCCACTATGACAGTGAGCTGAATATTTTGGGTTGTGGACAAAACAAGGCATTTGAGGACATCGTGTTGGGCTTTGGGAAACATATTTGTCACCATTTTGTGACATTTTATAGCCCAAACAATGAATTAGAAAATAATCAAAAGATTTATCGACATTATTTCCAGCACTAACCTGCTTCCAATGGTAGAACGTGAGCTGAGCCTGAAGGTCAACCTCTTTATTAGACAGTTGTAGTTTCAGCTTCTGTGACTAATGACATCTAACACAAAGCGTTGTGTGAAGGTTGTCAGGATGTCGGATCACAGAGGAGGGTTGTGCTTCGCTGGCTTCAGCTCTGAGCGCCAACCCCTCCCATCTGAGAGAGCTGGACCTGAGCTTCAACCATCCAGGAGACTCAGGACTGAAGTTGCTGTCTGATGGTCTGCAGGACCCCAACTGGAAACTGGAAATTCTCAAGTACAATTCATTATATCAGTGTAGACACACATCATGCCAGGTGTATGTCAATGCATGCTTTAGGTTCTTTGCTCATTTGTCTTTCTCTACTGTCTCCACAGGACTGATCATTGTGGAAAGATCAGACTGAATCCAGCACCCCTCAGGTGTAAGTTAGAACGTTCTAGTTTAGCATTTTGTTGCCAAGACTTAGATCAGACTATCAATACAGCAAAACTTTGTTCCTTTAAATGTTCTTCTTCAAAGTAGAAAAAAAGAGCCATCTTAGATAATCAACCAACAACAGTGATCATGAACAGATTTCTTGGGTTTTAAATGGGTGTTTTCTTGTCTTGTTTCTGCGATCAGATTTCTGTGAGCTCACACTGGACCCAAACACAGCAGACAGAAACCTCCAGCTATCCAAAGACAACAAGGAGGTTCGAGTGGTGCAGGACAAGCAGCCGTATCCTGATCATCCGGAGAGGTTCGACAGCTGGAAGCAGGTGCTGTGCAGCGATGGTCTGACTGGACGCTGCTACTGGGAGGTCCAGTGGCGCGGACACGTTAGAATTGGAGTAAGCTACCGAGGAATCAGGAGGAAGGGCGGCAGCGATGAATGTGGTATCGGATGGAACCATCAGTCCTGGAGTCTGTTCTGTTCGGCTCAGGGTTTCACCGCCTGGCACGGTGACACACCGACAGACATTACAGCACAACCTGCTGGCTCTAACAGAGTAGCAGTGTATCTGGACTGGCCGGCCGGTACTGTGTCCTTCTACTGTCTGCCCTCCATAGTCTCCTCCATCAAACGGATCCACCTCCACACCTTCCACTGCACGTTCACCGAACCGCTCTACGCTGCGTTTGGGTTTGGACAAGCTCTGGAGTTGTTGTCGTTATTATCGTCCTCGGTGGTTCTGTCTCAGGTTGAATGGTGAATGTTGCCTTTTGTGCAGAAAACTGGTTCCTGCAGAATGCACGAGGGTCCCACAAGTTTCATTTGAAATGTATGAGTTTTCCAGTTGAGCAACAGTTTTTAAATAGCGACTGTGAGAGGATGTAAGTTGTGTAAAGCTGACTGACACCAACAGACAAAAACTGACTAACAGACCTGACATCTGTACCGAGACACTAGACACGAATTTATTGCGCGAGTCACTTGAGTCGCGTGTATTTGGACGCACGTATGCACTGAGTTTACTTGCGTCATTCGCACGAGTAAACTCGCTCCATTCATGTGTCAAAAATTGCGTCATTCGCATGTCTACCAGGAATTTCTGCCCGTTTCCTGCCATTTTCCAGTGTGGTATCATCAAACATGGTTGTGCTCGACAACATGGCTGCTTGGTATCTGCTGTGGAAGGCCTAGAAACGACGGCGATCCAGACACCGCTGTGTCTGGGTCCATCGGATCCTCCAGAGACACACACAGCTCTGGGAATTCCACCAGCTTCTCCAGGAGCTGCGCCTGGATGACGGCCGCTTCCAGCGCGACTGACCTGGACCCAGTTTGACGACCTGTTGGAGAAGATCGGTACCAGGATATCCCTCCAGGATACCAGGATACCGGGATACGTCACCAGAGGATCTCAACACTGATTGGCCATTGCAGCGCGAATGCTTGCTTGAGTTTAGATTTTTCAACTTGTGCGAATGAAGTGTCCAACATGAATTTGTGTCAATCACATGTTTAACGCAACAAGATTTGCGTCATTCATTCTGCTCCATTCGCGTGATGTATACTGATGTCTAATTGTGTCTTCACATTGACTTTACTTGTAAATCATTCATGCATCTGGTGTGAACACAGCGTTAGATTTCTTTGGGCATCAGATACCGAGGTGTCCATGAATATAGGCCTGAATGTTTTCTGA